CTCAAATGCTTGGCTAACTCTGGAAATATTGCTGCAGTTCACAAAGTTGGCGACGACATGATACGGGTTTTTAGTATTTCAGAAAACCATGTGTATGGCCTTATGCTGAAGAGTTTCTGCATTGCAGGGAGGATTACAGAAGCTTTGGAATTGATTCGTGATTTAAAGAATAAAAATGTGAAGCTTGATTCTCAATTTTTTGTGACGTTGGTGAAAGGACTGTGTAGGGCTGCGAGGATCAGTGATGCATTGGAGATTGTTGAAATTGTAGAGAAAAGAAATGGTGCTGATGAGAAACTTTATGCAGTCCTTATAAGTGCATATTTGGGGAAAAATGAAATTTCAAAGGCAATTAATCTATTCCAGTGCATGAAAGATTCAGGAAGTTTGCCCACAGTTTCGACTTATACTAATCTGATGCAGCACCTTTTCAGGGTTAATGAGTTTCAGGAAGCGGTGAACCTCTATAATGAGATGACAGAGATAGGAGTTGAATTGGATTCTGTTGCAGCAACTGCAGTGGTTGCGGGTTATATCAGCCAAAACCGCATTTCTGAAGCGTGGGAAGTGTTTGAGAATATGAAGGATAAAGGAATTGACTTTAGCCGGAAATCATACACCATTTTTATCAAGGAACTTTCCAAAGTATCAAGGACGAATGATATTTTCAAGGTTCTGAATGAAATGAAGGCCTCCAAGATGGTTATTGGGAACAATATCCTCCAGCATGTTATTTCATATCTGGAGAGAAAAGGAGATATGAAGAACATCAACAGGATCAAGCTGCTACAGGGAGTTTCTAAAGTTTACCATGAAGAAAATGGATCACCTGACTTGGATGTGAGTAGTCAACAAGAAGGAAATTTGGAGTTAAAATCAGAAAACCTAGAACGGCTGTCCTCAGCTCTTGACGTGCCAGAGGCAGCTTCAAAATCCTGTAGTGAAAGTGATACACATAAGGTTTTCCAAATTTTGTTATCATCAACAGATTGGTGCTTAATACAAGAACAATTGAAAAAATGCAACATACAGTTCACCCCAGAAATTGTCGTGGAAGTTTTGCGTAACTTTAGGCTGCAAGGTTGTGTGGCATTGCAATTTTTTTCTTGGGTTGGGAAGCAAACTAATTATAGGCATACAACAGAATCCTACAATATGGCCATTAAAATAGCAGGACAGGGCAAGGACTTCACTCAGATGAGAAATCTATTTTCTGATATGAGGAGAAACGGTTGCTTAGTAACAGCTCATACCTGGACAATCATGATAATGCAGTATGGCCGAACCGGACTCACAGATATTGCTGTTCGTACCTTTAAAGAAATGAAAGGTAGCGGTTGTAAACCCACAGATAGTACATACAAAGCTGTGATCACATCTCTTTGTCAGAAAAAAGGTAGGAGAATTGATGAAGCAGTAAAAGTTTTCCAGGAGATGATTCAAGTTGGATGCAGTCCTGATAAAGAACTAATTGAAGCTTATCTCGGTTGTTTATGTGAGCTTGGTAAATTAAGGGATGTCAGAAGCTGTACTGAATCTTTACAAAAACTCGGTTTCAGTACCCCTTTAACTTATTCATTGTACATTAGGGCACTTTGCCGAGCAAGGAGGCTGGAAGAGGCTTTAGCATTGGTTAACGAAGTTGATGACGAGCAACATGTCTTGAATCAGTATGTTTATGGAAGTTTAGTTCATGGATTACTACAAAAAGGGCAGTTAGAAGAGGCATTGACAAGAATAGAATCCATGAAGCAGGTCGGTATTCATCCTACTGTCCATGTATATACTTCCTTGATTGTATACTTCTTTAAGGAGAAACAGATAGGAAAGGCTCTTGAAATTTTTGAGGAAATGAAAGATTTAGGCTGCCAACCAACAATTGTTACGTATTCAGCGTTAATACGAGGGTACATGAACATGGGAAAGGTTTCTGATGCTTGGAGTGTGTTTCATCAGATGAAAAAGAATGGACCATCTCCTGATTTCAAGGCATACTCCATGTTCATCTCTTGTCTATGTAGAGTTGGTAAGTCTGAAGAAGCTATCCAACTTATCTCTGAAATGCTGGATACTGGGATTGTTCCTAGTACAGTTAATTTTAGAACCGTCTTCTATGGGCTCAATAGAGAAGGAAAACAAGATTTGGCCAAGACTGTAATACAGATGAAGTTAGATGTGAAAAATAGAAGAAAGTTGCTAACTTGATTTTGATAAGAACATGTTAAAGTTAACACTGTCACTTTTTATCGTAAGAGGGTTGTTTGTTAAGTATGTTTAATATAGATTTGAGATATAGCATGACTTAAGTCCAAGAAGAGGGGGAAAAAATCATTACGCAGTATTTATCTGATGCAAAAAAATTTTAAGATATTATTTCTAGCAATCAGTGAGAGAGAAATGATAGCGTCATGGGTGGATAATAGGAATAGAAATAAAAAACCTCGACCTTCCATTCGATCTATATGAATTGAAGATTGCTCTATTTCATGGTTTAGAAAAATTGCAATAACAGCTAATCCCGTGATCAGAGCTTGCTATGGAAAATGACCGACAACGAAATTTGGCAAGAACCATAACACTTTTTTCTTGTTGTATAATGATTAATGAGCCCTCTAAAGGAAACAGTGGTTTAGAAATTTTGGTTTCAAATAGTAAGAGTTCTCTCGGCTTACGCCACAAATAAACGCCACTAGTTAACCTTAATGTATTTATAGCATGCCTCGCCCAAAAAAACGTTATTAAAAACATTGGTCACGCTTATGAAAAGAGAAGGCCATGTTTTTTCCTCTTAAAATAAAAGTACAAAGGAGTCTCACCACACTCCCTTCCATATGCGTTATCATAATGCATACTCTTTTTCTAGTGCCTTTATTATTAGAAGCATACTTTTGATGCTACTAATAAATATAAGTAATTTAATAAGATTACAAGTAAATTATTTACATAATTAGGTCCTTATTTCCAAAGCATGTAAAAGTAAAGCATTATGATAACGCATATGGAAGGGAGTGTGGTGAGACTCCTTTGTACTTTTATTTAAGATCCCCTATCCCTCAAGGCCTCAATATTAATTAAGGTTTTCCATAATCATGGTCATTCGATTAGGCAATTAATGGTATTTCAAACGAAAATCTTTTGAGCGACACTCAATATTCAATAAGCATGGCCATTCAATTAGGCAATTAATCATAGTTCAAACAAAAACCATTTTGAATGACATTGTCAAGGAGTTGCAAACAAATAGGGTTTAGTAGAGTTACTAGTATTTACTTCATCCGACCAACATTATCGTCCATTTTCTGCTCTTTGGAAGTAATTATGTTAAACCAAAAAAAATGTTTGAGATGTTCTTTTAAGTTAATAAAACAAAATTGGATTAGCAAATTTATCTTGAGGCTATATGAAAATTAGCCAAATAGACTCGAGAAAGAAAAACACGAAGTGAACATTGGATCGCAGAAGGTATATCATTACTTAATACATGCATTTCAATATAGTAGCACTATGAACTGTTAACATAAGAGGAGATGACATACTGATTTGTCAAGGTTCAATCACGAAAATATTGGAAGAAAACTAATAGAAGCAACCTTGAGTCTTTAAAAATGGAGTTGATAGAGATCCTCAACACAACTCCAACCACTCTCAGGAACATCCTTTCTGTTCAAATGCAACACTTCAAACTATCACTTTCGACATACTTTTATTCTGTTTACATTTCATACAAATGATAACGTTAAGGTCAAATCCACCAGAATCATCAATCAATGACAGAGAAATGATGTATACACACTGCTGGTGTCGCTCCTGGCAATTATTTTGTGGATAAACAGTGTAGAATTTGGGCTTATATTGGAAGGAACGGCAGGTGCCAGATTCACCACAGCAAGCGAACCCAACTCCATTAGATCAACTGTTTATTGTCTTCTGACTTACCCATGTACTCGGGGTTCATCTGATCGGGCCCAATTGCATCTCCACGGCCAAACCACAGCTTCATGCTCTATGCAAGTGCAAACAAATACAATAGATGAACAGGTAAAATCCATAGCATTTGTAATCCGACATTTATAATGCAGATAAAAGTATATCCTCACAAGACACAAATATGTACCAAAAACTGTATGCAATCAAAATGGTATTTTACAGTAAAAATTTAAGGTAAAATGAAACCAAGAAGTGAAGTCCAAGAGAATTTCAAAATGCAAAATATTAAGCCCCAGCGCAGCAAATTGAACTAGCCCATAAACTCCAAGGTGGCAACTGGAAAACCATCAGTCTGTTGGATGTCCATCGACAAGAATAAATCAAGGATGAAAGTTTAAATTCTTGTGCAACAATTATAAGGTTCCATACCCTGGACTAGAGCTTCTTCACAATCTCTTCATTTGCACGCTTGTAGTAAGTCATCCTTTGTGTAGCCGCCACAGCTTCTTCATACTTCCTTTTTTGTAAGGCGTTAGCAAAAGAGATGGATGATTGTTCGAACTTTCCCTGTATCTGCAGACCAATGAAGTAGAGCTAATGGAGATAAAATAAGTAAAGCCAAGCTCACTGCAGACTTACATAAACAAATATGGAGTAAAAAATATTAGCAATAGCATTGTTAAGAGTTATAACAATTGCAAACCTACACAAACACCAAATTACCAAAATAAAAATTGTCCAATTAATTCCTTCTTTATTATGTGTGCACAAGTGAAACTGGTAAAAGTCTTTACTTTCTAGTAGTTAATTTCACATAACAAAAGTGTGAGATGGCTATATGAGAAAATTCTTCCAGTGACATACCAGAGGAAAGGAGGAGTAATTACAGAACTAATATAATATTCTCTCAGGGTATTTTCAGTCAGTACCAACCACTTGATAACTCTGTTGCTTGCTAGCATTTTTAAAAAAGCCTACTATTCACCGAAATTTGACCACTCAGGCGACATGCAGATTGATATATGATTCATATATCAGTATAGCAATCTGACCTTCATCGCAACAAGAGCCAAAAAAATGGAGGAGAAGAAGAAAGAGGAAAACTACAATTGCTCTTACAGCTCTCAGAAAAACATTTAGGTTTTCCACACAAAATTCAAACAAGTTTGTTGTCATCGCTTATACTACTGGGTTTCTTTTTTACCTCCCCCTGAATTTGTTTCAGTGCCTGAGTGTTAGCAGCCTCTTCAACTGTTTCTCTGAGTTCCATAATCTGCAGTTAAAATTTGATAGTTAACAGTCTAAGCAGAAAATTTTAGGCAAGCCATGGGAAGAGAAGCACAGTTAGCACCTTTCTGAAGATCAAACAAAATAATATACCGTTCTGCCAAGATAAATATCAGATACAGGCGCTAAAGTTATTCCAGGAAATAACAAAAAGATTTAATGCCAACTCTTCTCTGCAAGCATACAGATTCCTTCTGTATGTTGTATATTCTTGGTAAGATTCTTGCAAGAGTTCTCACTTGAAATTTTTTGTTCTTTCGATGATCGAGAAGTTTTCTTTTTTCGAGTTTCAGAACTCGGTGGATCCGGGCTTCTCCTTTACCCTTCTCCACTTCAATACCAAACTTGGTTCACCAACCAAGATTCAGAACAACTCTACTCAAATTTCAGTGATGAGATATTTATTCTGTTCAAAGGTAAAAAGAGAAACAAGTGTACAGGCCTTAACGAAGAAAGGCGCAAACTCAGAAAATAATTATATACATACATAATTGAAACATAACAGCTATACATGCAGACAATAGTTACATGGGCAAAGAAAATTGAGAAGTTACAATTAAGTGAAATACTTATTGTTTAGTGATGTCCTCTTCAAATTACAGTCTAGATGATTATGGGTATTGCCTCAATGCTGTGGATACCAAGGAATTGCTTAAGCAGGGTGAAGAGATCGGCCTGTTTTAGCACCTAGCTCCAGGGCTTAAGCGCGATTCAAGCGATCCCTTAATGATCCTGGACATTTGAAGTTTTGGAATGCACCATCTTGCAACTTTAGAAACCAACAATAAATTAGTTAATTAAAGAATTAATGGGGAAAAAAATCATACAAGATGTCCAAGCCTATTCTATGTCACCACTGATTCAACACCTTCAAAATGTAGGCAATGAATCAGCATAACCCCACTAAATGGCTAATGGCAAGGTACTACTCGACTGCTAAATGGCTAATGGCATAGAGCCATTTAGTCATTTTTCCTACTGCCTCCTGTACTCTAATTTATGCTGTTACTGAGCACCCCACATGGAGGAAAAGGAAGTATGGGGTTGCCCACATCCTCAAAAGTAAGCTTCTATGTCAAAGACAGATTTTTCTCATTCTCTTATCCTTTACCTGGAGTTGGATAATTCCGTTGGTTCTTTAGGAGCTCAAATAACATGCAAGTACATCACGGAGCACCACTCTTAAAGAATCATAAATGGCTATGGTGGCTTCTAGAAGACGTTGTTGTTATCCTTTTGCATATTTCCAATATATCAAGAGCAGAAATGAAAGTTGAAGATGTCAAAGCAAAGCAGGAGCTTCAAAAATGTTAAAGATGAGGAGAAGTTGCCAACCAGAAGAAGAAACAGAGAAGTTGCAGCCTGGGAGAAGAGGGAACCACAAATTAAAAAGAAGAAGAAGTCTAGTGAAAACATAAGCTTAGACCAGGAGAAGATTAGTCACAGATAAGGAGAGGTGAAAGAAGAAGACATGCAAAAGCCTTAATTTCAAAAGGCCTAATTTTCTATTTCCTCCTTTTCCCCCCACTGTATTCTGGTCAGATGGATTTCAGCAGAACAAGGTGATCGCTTCTGTATGCTCAGTTAATACCTCACCCAGAAGAAGTGAAAACACCCACTTTGCCGTGCTTGCATATTTCAGGTGAAGTGCTCTACTTTCAATACACTAGTGGTAATTCAACAAGAGAAGAAAATACAAGGTTCAAAAGCAACACAATATGAAGCAATTGTGATAGCTACTTCAAGAATAATACAGCTAAGCATCATAGCAGCATTATTCGATTTGGAAAATTTGTGGAAAAAAATCTGAGAAAACGTCGGTCCTTTTGAAATAAAATGCTTTCTTCCCATATTACAGCTCTCATGTGGAAAGAGAAGCAAATAGGGAAAATCTACAATTAGAGCACCTCATAGCAAAACAATTTGACTAATTCTGGGAATATGAGAAGCAAATTACAAGCTCCATCATAACTCATCATATTGCAAACAAAACAACAAATGACAATTCGCTAGAAGAAATTTAGATATAAAACATGTCAAATTACTTAAGTCAGCTCCATAAGTTATTCCTCACTTTCCACCATTCACGTCTTTTATTGATCTGCTGCCTGTATTCTTTTTGGTAGTTGCTTTCGTTAGATAAAGAGGATACGGGATGCCACAAAGACGCATTCCTTTTTATACTTTCAAGTCTAACTGTAGTATCTGTCAACTCCGAACACAACAAACAACAAAAAACCATGTGAACTTCATCAAAAAATGGAAAAGGTGGAGAAGTAAATAGTGACTCCCTATTTTGAAAATCTAAAAATAACACACACAAAGTAATTAACCCATACCAAGCCAGCATAACCAAAGCGTTACCATTACGAGGAAGGGATAAGAAAGCACTAGTCAATTTTGAACATATGGTCAAGATAATATTCACGTTACAGGCATTGAATGCCAATTTCTATATCAAAGTAATATTGACGTTACAGGTATTGAATGCCAATTTCTATCTTAGATCAATTTAAAAAAGCCAACATGTCCAAAAAACAATTGACAGCATCACTTCTTGAAAAGTAAGTCCAGAATAACAAATTTTACCTCAGCAAGCAACTCTAGGTCATCAATCCTTTCCTCTTCATCCACATGCACGCCTTCCAACTTCAGCTGGAAGCCAGGAAAAAACAGTAAGAAGAAAAATTACTGAAACTTGGTACACCATAATCCAAAACTCCTATTACATTTGCATCCATTTATCTTGTCCTTATGTTGCCATTACATTATTGATATTTTCTTCATTTTAAATACTTCAATGCAGAAGAAAAAGAATGAAACCAAATGCAATTGGCCAAAGTAACCACTCCTCGTTTCTTGCAATAATCCAGAGGAAACACAACACATAAGTCAGGATATGAAATATGCTTTTAAAGCATTAGCCAATACACTATCTTCTTGTCCTTAGAGTTAAGCATGTTCAGCCTAAAAAACATAAAAATAATAGGAGGCTGTATAGACGTAATCTTCTGTCAAAAGTCTCTTGCACATATAAGGCATCACAGACATTACAGCTAAAGAAAAATATGCTTTGAAAAAGTGAAAATACCAATGAAAAATGAAACTACAATAGCAATAAATATGTATCAAATAATGGTAACCTACAATGTATATTGCCCTTGACAATGGGTCAGTTAGCGTGCGATATGCATCGATTACACGAGCAGACTGTGCAGCAGCATACTCCCTTTCTTTCTAGCAGAAACAGCAAAAAGCCACGGGAAATAATATCAAAATTTTGGCAAAAAGGGACACCCAAAGAAAGAAAATCATAGGGGAGCCTGGAAAACGGAATTTTCACATATATATGTCCAGAATGTACAATTTTATGAACCTCGGATTTCGTATGAACCAAGTCTGGATGTAGCTTCCTCTGCCAGTCTTTGTACTTGCGCTCTAGATTCTCCCCCTCAATTCCATACTTCTTCTCCCTGTAAGAATGCATAGAATCTTTAGCATCTCAATATCACCAGCCATGGAAATAAAAGAAAAAATCTTCAATACTTGTAGAAAAAGTTGAAAAAGAAATTAATAAGAAACACGTCTCACGCTCTTTTAAATATTCAGAACTACAGAAGCTCCTCTCCGTTTTGATATTACAAGTACAACTACATCCATATGTATATAACTATAAGCGAGGAACTTACAATCCAAAAATGTGGAAATAATCAACAGATTGATCGACAGGCTGGACGCTGCCACAAGCATTGCAAACCAGAAACGGCGTCGTAGTTGAGGAAACAGCATTGCAATTCCAGCAAGTAAGCTTCTGAGCAGCTTCGGAACAGAAATGGAATCTTCCAGAAAAGTCCAGATTGTTTCGAACAAAATAACGTTGAGGAAATTGATCTACTTGTGGAGAAATTGAAGAAGAAACAGGAAAATCCAATTGGGACGGCGAAACAGAAAACGTCGTTACTTCCCTTCTCAATAGCGCTACTGGGAAGGATGTTAAAATCCGGAGCTTCTTCGTCCACATTTTCTGGGGTTGGTCTTGGCAGCAGGCGGTCATGAACTTAGTGAAGCATAGAAGGCTGGAGAAAGACGGCGGTTATATATAATGGTGCTTTAGATTGAAGACACGTGTCAATTATAAATTTAGGGGAATGAACTTTTGAAACTCACTAAATCCAAAAGTTAAATTATAAGGGGAGAATTGTTCAAGATTATATAAGAAAAAAATTAAATATTTTATTACAATAATCTGGGATTCTAACAATAGATGCTACATGTCTGAACAGTTAAGAAATTTCCTAATCACATTTTCTTTTAACAAAGCAGAAAGATGAGATATCTTTTCCTTAATCTTACGTGGTATAATAGCAATGCCAAATTCTCTAATGTTAAGGGGTATAGTTTCAAAACTAGAATAATAGCAAAATTATGCTAAATAAAGAAAATTAAAAAAAATTATGAACAACTATATAGAATCATAAAAAATAAAAGTTAAAAAATGAGAATATTATTTAAATATTAAAAAGTAATCTATTATTTTAACATAGTTAAATTTGTATGTAACCCCATCCAATAATAAAGTTCAACTTTAGTAACATCACTCATTATAAGTCAGGTTTGTGGATGACTTATTCTTTCTAAGATTACGAGGTGTAATTTTTTAGAAAAACTAGAATAACAACATAGCTAAGTATAATAAAAAAAATAAGGAAAATTAATTAAGAAAGAAATAAATTATGAGAAATTTTGTAGAAACTCATAAAGTAAAATTGGGAAACGAGAAATAAGGAAATAAAAGCTAAATAATGTGAATAGAATAATACTAGTAAAAAATGAAAAAGTTAAAATAAAAAGAAATAATAGATATAAAAAGTAAATTAAAAAGAATAAAAAAAAATTAAAAAAATAACCTTATAATTACACCATATAATAACAGCAATCAGCCCCCTAAAAATGGGAGAGTGTAATTGCACCCTTCAATTACACGCCGACCAAGTAAGACAAATATGACAAAACTATATAATTAAACCCAAATTCAATTACACGTGGCTTTCCAAACAACCCCAAAGGAAATCCTGATAAGAGGACAAAACGTCAAGAAGCAACTACAGACCAACTATAAAAGGAAATGTACTGTACTTTGTATATTGTTGAGTACTAGGTATGATGATTAAGGAAATTCTTATTAACAAAATAAAAGTTTCTTTTTTCTTGAATAACGTTATTTAGGTTCTTATCTCTTTATACGGCCGAAACCTGGCTCATCTGTTGTGTGACGGATCGGAACCGAAATGTAATGGATTGAAGATCGACCCCAGGTTCCATCGAACCAAAGTACGAATAAGAACATACGTCTCTAAGATCTTCGAGTCTGTGACTCCTGAACCGACCCCGATTCCGAATAAGCTCGAGGAAACATTATCGGACCCAATAACGGAAGGCCGAAATTGTTACATCCCGAATTTTCGTACGCTAAAATTTCGTCGTAAGTTAATACGTAAGTTCGGGAATGAAATTATTTTTGGGATTATAAGTATTACGCTATTTCAAATAAGTGATAAGTAATTTCGTGAAGGTGAAAGGGTAAACGAATAGAAGAAAACGAGTTTCGTCGAAGTTTGTCAATTTGGGATAGAATATGACCCGAGCTATAATACCTCATATTTATGGACTAATGTCATACAAGGTACCACATGACTATTATAGTAAGGGGTATAAAGTGTGTTAAAAGTAATTAGTATCTTAAGTAATTTGAGATAATTCCTAATTTTGTGAATAATTGGGTAATTATTGGTTAATGGGGGATTAGCCAATTAATTAAAAAAATAAATAGGACACTATTGGATAAGAATTGACCACCAAAACGTGGCAGCTACAACATTGTGACTCTTATATCATGATTCAAGTTGTCATTCTTAGAGAATTGGGTGGCCAACTAAGCCAAAAAGTGGGGCCCACTCCTAAAGGTTAAGAAAACCTTTCAAATTCATTTTTAGAATCTCTAAAATGAAGAAGGAAACTTCAGGAACTTATTCAAATGTTATCAACGTGACTTTGCTACCAAAGATCATACGAGACTACGTGATGTTATAGCAACAGAGTTTTGCGATTCTAAGGGAGTACGGTGCATCAACCTAGCAAATGCATAGGCCAAATGAATAGGGTCCCCAACTGCCTCTTCTCTTCTTCGCGAACGCGTTACTCATCTCGCGTCCGCGATGCACTCTACTCCTAACCCTTCGCGAACGCGTCCCTTACTTCACGAACGTGAATAACAACTCTTCCTAAATCCCTAGATACTCTTCCCGAATGCGAGACCTCCCTCGCGAACGCGTAAGAGGAAACCAGCAATAACAAAAACTAGCTGATCAACTATCTCCCAAAGGCCATAATTGGCCCATTAACCACCCGAAACTCACCCGAGACCCTCGGGACCTTAACCAAACATACCAACATGTCCTATAAGATTGTACTAACTTAGTCAAACCTTCAAATCACTCAAAACAATATCAAATCATCAAATTACCCCCGGATTCAAGCCTAAGAACTTCTAAACTTCCCAAATTCCACCAAACGATGCTGAAACCTACTAAACCACGTCTGAATGACCTCAAATTTTGCAGACAAGTCTGAAATGACACCACGATATCAAAATTTCCATTGCCTGCCAAAATCGCCACAAAATTCCAACCGTCGTCAATTCAAGCCTAATTCTACCACGGACCTCCAAAAAATATTCCGGATGCGCTCCTAAGTCCAAAATCACCTAACAGAGCTAATGAAATCATCAAAATTCAAATCTGAGATTGTTTATATATAGGTCAACATCCAGTTAACTTTTCCAACTTAAACCTTCTTCTAAGAGACTAAGTGTCTCGGTAAACTCCAAAATTACTCCGGACCGGAACCAACTGACCCGGTAAGACATAATACATCTGAAGAACACAAATGAGGCAGAAATGGGGAAACGGGGCTACGACTCTCAAAATGATCGGTCGTGTCGTTACATATTAGGTGGCGACTCTCTTTCATCAACAATAGAGAAACCACAAGTTGAATCATGTCTGACTAGTGCAAAATAGAGTGCAACAATGATCTTTATACTTTTCCCAAAAATTCAATCCTGGCTCGCCCGGTCAAAACCCGGGTCCAATAGTTGATTCCAACTAAACATGACCCACGAGCTCATATATGTGATTAGTTTCAAAATTCGAGTCCAAATCGACTCTCAAAACTCAAATTCTTATTTTTCAAAAACTTGATAAAGTTTACAAATTTTCACTTTGATTCACATGATTTTGATGTTAAAATCTAAGATATATTGATGGAATATGATTGGAAATAGATTATAATTACTTACCCAAAGTTTGTAGATAAAAGTTACCTCACCAAGTCGCCCCTACCGAGTCTAGGGTTCTAAAATGAGAGAATGTGAGATGAAATCCCGACTTCCAACCCTTTTGATCAGTTGCTGATGTTGCAATTGCAACGTGGGTTCGTAATTGCAAATCCTCACAATTGTGAAGTATTACTCACAAATGCGGTCACTATCAGTCCTATGCGGAGGTCGCAATTGCGACTCTGGCTTCGAATTTGCGAACCCTATCTCCATTGCAAATGCGATTGTTTTGTCACAAATACGAACTAGACCTCTACTAGAACTTCTTCTCAATTGCTAGCCATGTAATGTAATTGCGATACCAGAGGCTCCCCTGATAAGCTCGCAATTGCGAACCTGGTGTTTGAAAATGCGATACATGAAGCATCGACACACCAGATTCTACATTTTCAGTTCAAACCTTCCAAAACATGCACGAAACTCATCCGAGCCCTCGGGGCTCCAAACAAAACACCACACAAGTCTAAAACATCACACAACCTTGCTCGCATGATCAAAACACAAAAATAACATCTAAAACCACAAATCGAATATTAAAACACAAGAATTTCAAAGTAAAGTTCAAGAATCTCTAGAATTATATTTAAACGTCTGAATCCTATCAAACCAACTCCAAATGATACAAAATTTTATAGACAAATTCTAAATAGCATAACGGACCTATTCCAAGTCCCAAAATTAAATTCGGTGCTCAATAGCTAAAAGTCAACCTACGATCAAACTTTTCAACTTCAAATTGCCAAATTTCGACAAAACAACACAAATCAACCTACGGACTTCTGAAATCAATTTCGGGTGTATGCCCAAGTCCAAATCACGATACAAAGCTATCGAAGCCATAAAATACCATTCCGGGATCATTTTCAAAAAAGCTAGAGTTTGGTCAACATTTCTACTTTAAGCTTCTAAGTCAAAAATCAAGGGTCCAAATCAACCCGAAAACATCCCGGAATGAAACTAACCGACACTGCAAGTCATAAAATCATAAACATATATGTGTGAAGCATAAAAGGGGTAACGACGCGCAATTATACATAACGACCGGTCGGGTCATTACAGACAACATACCCAAAGACATAGTAATATGATATAGAGCAAACCCACGTACATTTGGGTCTTCGAAATCTCCCAAAACACAATTGAGGCCCAAAAATTTCACCATAATTCAGCAACGATGAAAAAGATCCCAAGTTAAGGTACTACTCGACTGATTTCAGTGGCATGACTTACCAAGACATATGCTTAACGAATTAAGGAATTAAGGTGGACTATACATAAATTCCTAGAGACAGACCTTCTAAATGCTTGTACTAGTGCATATTATAATAAATACTCAATCAACATAGTACAAAGAAGAAAGATTTCATGCCAAACAACACAAGTAATGGATCGTAACATATATGTTATTCCCTTTTACTCATGTTATTATTTTAAATAGGACGCTAAACATAATGAATCAAATTTGCCTATATAAGTAACTAAAGGTCCATACACGGGTTCATTGTCAACACAGAAGGAGGAAACAAATTTCAAGAGGCCTAGATGCTTACACTAATGTCTCCAATTTCATGTTCTACTAATGGTTTAAGGACAGTAGGAGCAACAGTCAACAAATCATAGAAAAGAACACATGTGAGATCTCCTATCAACAAACATGAGTCCACAATCTATGCTTTATC